GGCAAAGACGGCCTGCCAGGCTCTACTCCTCCCCCAACATCCTCTGGCCTCTCGCGCCATGTCAGCCATGCAATGGAGCCTAGCTTCAGCCAGAGTTTCCGTCGAAATGAAGTCCGGTCTCCATCTATTCCTCACTTCCCTGCTCCTCAAGAGGAATACGCTCCAACCGAGTACGGTGATATGTCGTTAGCCGTAAGTTCCTAATAACCTTCTCCCCATCCCCCTTAGACTATAAATAATACTAACACCGAACAGAATGACAACGCCGAACCAGTCCTAACAGACCGTGAGGCCCTGGAGACGGAGCTCATCCGCCGCCTTATTTCATCTTACTTCAACATTGTCCGTGAGACAATAGCAGACCAAGTCCCCAAAGCCATCATGCACCTTCTCGTCAACCACAGCAAAGAAGTGGTTCAAAACCGCCTAGTCAGCGAACTTTACCGAGAAGATCTATTCCCTGAACTCCTTTACGAAGATGACGGCATCAAGGCTGAACGCGAGAAGTGCGAGAAGCTACTAGAAACCTATAAAGAGGCCGCGAAGATCGTGGGCGAGGTTTTGTAAATTATCTATCCACACGCTCTCTCTCTCTGTTTATTTTACCTCTCCTTATCTTGGTCTTTTAAGCTATGATTTATCCGCTTCCTTGTCTCGTATAACTAACGCACACCACTCTTTCCTCTCCTTTTTGGTCTTGATATGACTTTGTTTTGTTTTTGATTGACGCAAGTGATTCGTCCGCCGCTGATTGCCACATATCTTTTTCGATATTGTTTTATTACATCTCACAACTCTATAATGAACGAATCACACTACGTCGGGATTGAAGGATGAGGAGGTGTGAGTGGTTGATCTTCGTTCTCGGGGATTGACGTCTGCTGATTTGGTAGATGAAGAGAAGAGGTTGGGGTTGAAGTAAGGAGCCGTGATATATATATGGCTTTCATGTGGGAGGCGGTGGAGTTTATGTATACATGTAGTTATGTAAAATGGAAGATCCTTCTGAATGTTACGATGTTCTCTACGTATAGCTAGTCGTGCTACAGGTTACTTTAAAGGCTTTGAGAGTATCCTGGGTGCAGAAATGTCTTCATTGTTGTATATATTTTCTGGAGGTGTGAGAGGGGGTCCTAAAACTAACCAACAGCACCATTAAACCGATCATCCACTCTACCCAACCACCAACCACCAATCCCTCAAGTCATTCTTTCGTATGACGAGGAATCCAATCGCAAAGATCCGTCCAAACTAGACCAAAGGGGGAAGATAGGGGAGTGGGATAAGAATCAAAAAGACGGGGAAAAGTTACATACATGGAGGGTAATACAAGATGCCATTAAGGAAAATGAAAGGGAGAAAAAAGCACTAGCTTGGTTGAGAGTATGAGTGGGGAAGGTTTCATAACCACGTCCAAATAGGAGAAAAATATAAATATAGTCTTTGAATGGTGAGTATAGATCAGGGTAAGACGATATGGTATGTAGATTCGCCTTGCTTAGAAGGTGTCGTCCATTTCCATGATTGAGTCAATGTCAATCTCTCGAGAACCCAACTGCTGGGGCCAATTGGCATTATTCAACTGGTCATTGAGAGTGCCGAGGGGAGGAAACATGCTGGAAATATTCCAGCTCTCAGACTCGTTGCCACCAAGACCAGAGCACATATTATTGTTCTCGAATCCACTGAATAGAGTGAAGTCGCCTGTTTGCTTGCCAATGTCCATCTTCATGCAGTCAAAGCCGTCATCAAAGCCCTCGTCGCTTTCATAAGAGGCAGGGGAGTAAAGCATAACATTACCGTGTCCGGCGGGAGAGATACTGGAGTTCTTGTCCAAGGCAGGAAGAGGAAGGCAGAGATTCTCAGGCTCAGGGAGGCAATTCATAGCTTGAGCTTCAATAGACTGCGCTGGACTAAGGAGCTGAAGGTTCATAGAGGTGTACTCATTCTCGGTGACGTCAAAGTGGAAGTCTAGGTCTGCATTGTTTCCAACAAGGTCTAATGGAGACTGAGCCTGGAACCCTGCAGCAAAGTTACCGGCGGGAGTAGAAGAAGCAGAAGGGAGGTTTGTGTCAAGCTGGGGTAGAGTATCGGATGGATCTGCAGCTTGGAGGTCCGCATAGAAGGCATTGAAGTCTTCGTGCATAGTGTTGTACTCGTTCAACGACGTAGAGTCAGGGAAGAGCATGAAGTCATCGTGATTAGTATTCTGCTGACCCACTTCGCTAGGTGAGTAGATACTAGGGCTTGGAGCCGGATACACGCCGGGGCTAGGAGTATACCCGACAGAGTCCTGAACACTGATGCTTGGAGACCTGTCGGAAGCAGTTTTCTCAAAAGGGGTAGACTGTTTCTCAGATGGAGACAGATATGGAGACATGGCCTGTGCACTAATAGGAGTAGGAATATCAACTGAGGGTGCTTGTGGGGTGCTGATGTTGGTTGTAGTTGGCGTTGGCTGAGGAGACAGTTGGTGGCTTGCCCTGCCATTGTTCTTGGATCGGACATACTTGTAGCCATGGAGCTTTTCCATGTGCTGTTTACAGTTACTCTGGCGCTTGGTGTCATAAGTACAGCCGGGGTAGAGGCATTTGTACTTCTTTGGGGACTTGGAATGTCTGTCATTCATATGACGATCCCTCTCCTTCTCAGTTGGCCACCCGAGTTGATAGTACTTGCATTTGGTATCAAGGCACTTCCATGGCCGAGTGTGCACTTTCTCGTGTTTGCTATTGTACAGTGTTAGTCATAATGCATACCATTAGTGGTAAGTAAAGGAGACTCACGTAAGATCGCAAGGGCGACGGAAGACCTTATCGCAGTGCTTGCACTTCTCATTAATGTTCATTGGTGGAGCATCCTTCTTGCGTCGCGCCATGGAACGCATGACACTCTCTTGATTCTCCATACTGGGAGCACGCTTCAAGCTTGGAACTTCTGGCTTCTGTTCAACAAAGGGCTCCCCGGTTTTCAAGGAGATAGCTTGCCCCTTCTTCTTCCTTACAAGTTCGGCTGGCCGGCCGGTACTTGCAAGACCACCCTCGAGAACAAGCTCCTCGCCACTATGAAAGTGTAAGCAACAAAATATGAATGAAAGAAAGTAGTCAGTATACATACGAAGAATAGTCAAGTTCGTCACGGTTAGACGAAGTAGCACGTCGCTCCCGGGAAGATCTGATCAGAGCAGCGTACTGGCGAATTTGCTCGACGAGGTCAAGGAAGTACCCGTTAGTGTAGGGACGGTCTGCTGGACGACGTTGGTCGTGGTCGTTGAGATATCCAACGGTTGTGTGCACACACTGAATGGTGAACTCGCAGAAGCTAAGATACGAAGACCTAGAGATGGTGTGATGGGGAGCCAAATAAAGCAGAGTTTTCTCTACGTCTCGAAGACAGGTAATCTCGCTGCTCTGAATACGCTGTGGTACAGATCTGACAAGGGAGTGGAAGTTCTTCAGGCGTTGTTCCTTGAGCAGTGGGAGAAGGATGTGACGCTGAATATGGCGTTTTCCCCCAGAGCTGAGGGTAGAACTAGACGAGACCACTGACTCACGAGCCTCGCGTTTCAAAATATCTGCAAGATAGTTAGTATTCAGCAAAGAAGATGCAACATTCCGGGTTATGTTATGCAACGAACCTTCACCAACGGAAGAGCCAACACCGCTATCAGAGAGCTCGGCACGGAGGTTCTCCTTTCCAGGGGGTCCAGTTTGTACTTGGTTCCTAAAAGACGAGTCGATTTCCATCAGGTTAGCAGAGGTGAGGCGTTTGCTGAGACCTCGGAGAGCCTTGAGGTTGCGTTTATCATCTTCGAGCGAGCTCTGTTTCGACAGTGACTTGTTCCCGGGACCAGTAGAGTTGCGCTCAATGCTGCCGAGCCAGCCAGCAACGCGGTTTTCCCTAGCAGCAGAAAGTTCCTGGAGAGTGTCCGGGCTAGTTGGAGAACGACGAAGCAAGGTTGGTAAATGGAGGACTGGGTCCCCTGGGGACGAAGGAGAGGCGGAGACATGGAATGTAGCTTCCTTCCTCAAAGTGGCATGGCGAACTGTATTTGAAGAGTTGCTGGGGGAGCGTCCATCACAATGGCCGGTGGAGAGACGGGGAAGGTTGGCATTCAAAAACGGTCGACGACGCGGACTTATACTGAGATCGGAGGACATACTGGGTGACTTTGTAGCGAGCAAGTCACAAAATCTGCACACCGACTCCAGTGAGCAAGGGCGGGTAGCTGAAAAAGGATAGTTCCATATGACTCACCAGCTGATTCTTTCGGAGGCCAGAACTAGACTGAATTATTTCTTGCTTGTTTGAGAGCGTGGAGACAGCCGGCTGCAGCCTTTATAGATCGAGGTCTCGCAGCAACGTTTGGCCAGTTTTCTTCTTCCACGCAGGCCACACAACGCTGACTTTGACTGTCGAGAGACGATGTTAGCGATGCTGTCCCCTAGTAGCCATGTCTTTAAAGTGCCATACTTACAGCATTCACTGAGGCCCGGAGTACAGAATTTAACGCCGATATGCCGTTTCCAGGCAACAAACACTCAAGGACGACTAGAGGAGTCAAACTTCAAGGTCGAAAGAAGTCGAGGAATCAGATAGCAGGAGATCCAGAGAGGCCTTGAGACCAAGTTGTCTTTAGCTGGTGACTGTGTCGAGGCAGCGAACTCCAGGAGAGCGTCGGCTCCTGTTGACGTGAGACGGCTGCTGCCTAGCTGGCTGCTGCCTAGCGGATCACCCGGATTAGATCAGCGGCCAAGCGACGAAGCCTCGGTGCTCGAGCTGGACTAGCGGAGAGACAGAGAGACACCAGCAGATGGAATGGCAACGGGTGTCCAGCGGACTGACTGAATTTCTGCTGTTTATGGGAGTGTGTGAAGGGGACGCAGAGCTGTGAAGGTGAAGTGGTTGATGGTGAAGGAAAGGCGGAGGACGAGAGGGAGGAAGATAAGAAGGAGAAAGAGAGTTTCCCTCGCGTGTTATTCGGTTTTGGCGGTTGCCTGATGGGAAAAGTGGGTCCTTCCTTCCCAAAACTCACTTTCGGCGTCTCGGCGCTGCGGCTCCGGGAAGGTTTCTTACTTAAGCGATGTTGCTATAAAAAGAAAAGAACAACAACGACAGCGACGACAACAGCGAGAAGACAACAGCGACAACGACAAGGAGAACAGAGAGGAGACCAGATTTGAAGAAGATGATATGAAGACTCGCTGGCGGCGGGCGGTGAGCTCGACTCCCAAAGGCGCTGCTCGGTGTTGCGGTGCGGCTGCGGATGTGATGCGGCAGAGACAACACAGCCACCGCAGTGGTAGCCTCATCCAGCCTAGCAACGCGAACAGCATTAATAACACGCACTCACAAACTAATTAAGACCGGGATTCGCGGGCTGTGGAGAACCAACTCGTTATCTCCGCCAACATGGAGAGGCCAACTTTCTCCTTCGCTGCTTCACCTTGTAACACAGCTGCATCCTTCGCCAGATTCTGGACGTCTCGTTGGCCCGGGAAACCAGTTGCACTTCCCCCTTCAGCCAACCAGCTTCTCGCTGCCCCGTGGGCGGGACGCACTTTGAGACAGCGCCTAGGCGTCATCGAGCAACCCTTGTCAGGGGGTCGGACAGTTGTAAACTCCGATCTCCTCCGTCTCCATCCATTTCTTGTTTGCGGCTCAAAAAAAGCCACTGACATGGGGGCTCGGCCTTTCACGAAGGTTCTCTCTCCAACAAAAGCAATTCTTCCCTGTCTGGTGAGTCACACCTGAATACTCCGTCCTCGAACTGAAATGGTTCTGGGAACAGATACGCAAGGGCAGTCAGGATGGGTGCATTCTTGACGTCGCTTCTCATAAAATAGCCCCTAGACGGAGGAGTATTTCACTCAAGAACCATAGGCTGCATGAAGGTATTACCTTCCGTCTCCATGCATCATAATTATCACGTCGGATACTCCGTAACGCCTTGGGAATTCGGTGCCTATGGCTTGAACTCGCGCATACAGCTAGAGAAATCAGTACTAATAAAGAAGTCCTCTACTTATTATATTCAGCAGAGATAACAGGTCATCTATATCAATTGGACAAAGTAGGTTTGGGATTATTCCACTGCCTGGGGTGTCCTGCTTCGACTCAGACATGAATTTGCTTCCTAAGACTGGGGTGGAGCAAAACCATTGTAGCTCGAACTGGTGCTCAAATCTCCAAATATGAAAGCTACTCCAGAATATCTGTGCACAGAAAATGCTGAAGCAGGAACACATCGGGATGAAATAAGTAATATACTCATTGATCCCCGTCATCAAAGCACCTCTTTGAACACCGCATCTTCACTTGCTTTTTCAAGTTGCCACAGAATAAAGGCGAGCATTATACGCAGAAAGATGCGAAGATTGTCCTCAATTTTGACATTAAATGGGCCCAGCTCTTGTATTTGGAGGAACGGGGATTTGCCGGTACCTCGTGTAGGGAGAACTGGCTGGGATCCCGGGCCGAAAATGTATTCCAGGTACGAAGTATCGTAGGTCCCGATACTAATGTGGAAGCCCAGATGGTCTTGAGCCACCATAAAGGTATGATACGTCCGATGCGTACTTTTCCACTATATCTTTGTCAGTAAGAATTGCCCAAATAAGAATAAGAGCGTAAAAGTATGGTGTAGTATCACCGTTGAGTCGCTTGCATGGCATTTCCAAATATATGCTGCATGCTCCATCGCTTGCTGTGCCAGGACAGGAGTGCCACTTCCCCTTCCCTTGCGTGGGGCACGTTTAACTTCAAATATCGCAGCTTCACGTGGCATACCAGCAACGGATAAGCTGAATGGGATACTCCCATCTACACGAGCCCGGAACTGCATACCGCCGTGTTGTAGAGAGGTTGGATGACTGGGAGGCCCAAATTGGTATGTAGTCTCAAAGGAGTTGGCCATACAGAGGGGCCTAGGACTCAGGCCCTGCACAAGGCTTGCTAAACCACCAAGTAGGGTAACTATAAAGTCTGCAACAAGTGTTTCTGTGGGTGTTCGACGTGGAGGTTCTTCTACTCCTTGAGCCGTTGTGGAAAACATTGGAGGGGGAGAATCTGGGATTGGCTGATCATCGCTATCTGCCATTTCGATATCCACCATGTCAAGCTCTTCAAAAGTCTGATATGTTGGGCTCTCTGGGTTATCCCGTGCCGCGTGCTGCATGGCATCATAGAATCGGCTTGCACGTGGAGCTCCAAACACCCTACGCTCTTCAATCGAAGTCTGGATTGACCTGTCTTCCAGCTGGTTGAACAGATTAGTGAACAAACTGAATGGGCCGAGGCCCCCAGCAAGAGTACCAGAATACTTGGGCGGGGTGCTGATGGGGGTGTCCTCTGGAACACATAGAAGTTGAAACAGCGTCCCGAGCATATCAAGCCCGAGTAGGTTTCTTTCCATAAGTTTTATCGCGTCATTGATGTGGTCTTCATTGAAGAAATAATCTAGTTCTGTAATATATGCCGCAGCATACTTAGAGCCTTTCTTTTCGGGCCAAATAGGCCTGAGAGTGAGGAGTGCTTCCTTTGGAACTGTCGACGCAGAGAACTTCCCTGTTCACCACCAATGTTAGCCAGAGGATAAATCAGTTACGAGAGCGAGCTGCGAGAAAGGGAGCCGCTACCTTCCATGCACAGCTGCTCGAGGGTCCGATGCTGAAGGCCATACTTGTATATCGCGTCTCGCCACTCTGATATGTTTGCTGGAACTTGGTCGAGGCCATGAGCAGCCTGCTGCCACCGCGGAGCCGCCATTCTATAGCCAAACTTTCGCCTTTGCTTTGGGGTATATCACAGGCGGCACCGTTCTGACGGCAAGTTTAATCAAAATGATTGACCTAAAAGAGCGGGCCTACACCAGTGGCCAGCAGGTCAAAGTTATCTTTTGACACTCGAGAGGAAGAGAGATTCGAAGGCAGATGCCGGAGGAGGAGGAGGAGTAAATATAATAAGGCGGCAGCAGCCGCGGGGAGCTGACTAACAAACTTTAGGGTGGTGCCTGGAGAGTATTTATTACGTAATTAGTTCCTAAGTCTGGGGCGGCGGTGGGCCTATTTCACCTTCGACATACATACTTTAAATAATAACCAAACTACCTAACCACAGATACACGGTTATTTATCAATCTTCATCACCAAATATGTCGGAATCGGACGCGCAGACGGACACCGCACCATCCGAAATACTGCCGTTTAACCAGCCGGAGGCGGTCGCCGCGTTTCTGGGCCGTACGTTTCTCTGCTATATGACCTATGCGGACTCCTCCTTTCTATTTGACTGGCTGGAGAAGACACCCGATATCCGTCTGCGCTGCCGGAATACCACTGAGCAAGAAACTCTGTTCACAACGCCTCCAGAGCTCCTGAGGGCCATTCACACGTGCCAGAGGGTTACTGAACCAGACATATTTCCGGGCATTCCGTCCGACTGGGGGTTCGCCGGTCTCATGCAATTTGCCGTCCACCAAGTGCAGGAAACCGTGCAGGTAAAGTCTCGAGAGTAGGATACACCGTCTGCTTTCAACATCTGTTACCTCACTGACTTGGTGCTAGACTTTACGGTCCTTTATTTACCCAGCTATACTGTGAAAAGGTCCGCAATATACATGGGCTCGAGGTCCTCTGCCCTCATCAGAACCACTGGACTTTTATCATTCAGGATCACACATGTGCACGTGATATGAGACAGAAAGCAGATTGTCGTAATTATATCCTAAAGAGTGAAATAATGGCAGCCACCTCAATATTCTTTCACCAGATGAATGAAATGGTTTGGTCGTCTGAAAAGAACCGTTATACATCCAAGCCGAGATACAAGGGTGGTTTATTGACTGTACGTTTACCTTGCCGTTTTATAAACGCTTTATCTGACAACAACCCCAAGGCTACTGTAGTGACATTTACACGTGGCAAAGTACGCGTCGTCCAAGCAACTATCAGACCGTTGGAAAAACATCCAACCCTCGACCTTAACCTAAGAGCTAAATACACTCTCACAAAGGCAGGGTACGACCAAAATGTCGCCTTTGACGTTCTGAAATGGATTCTCGATCCACCACAGGCAGAGCTTGAGACGGAGCCCTAGTCCACGGAGACGGTCAACAAATTTCCCGAGAGTGTGAAAGAATATGAGCTCCCGAGTGTGGGGTTGTTTATTTGGCTGTGGCTTCCTAGTCTCTGTGATTGTATCTCTCAGAGCCTAGTTATCGAGCTGGTTATTTATAATTAATTTCTTTAGTCGCTTCACTAAAGAGCTGTATTAAAGTATTAGTAGAATATGAGGATTACACTAAGGTTAAAACGGTGTTATTCCACTCCACGTGAGGATTACTACCTGCAGTTTATACTCCAGCGGCCCCCGTGTAGTACATGTGCAAAAACTTAGTTAGCGCCGGCGTCGGCTGGCGCTTCCCCAGATTGGACCTCGGCATCTCGACGAGCTTCTTGCTTTGCGGGCCAACGTGAACATTTTCTGAACAAACAACAATTACGACAACCACCGCGCTGTTCAGTTTTGCGTCTCCCTTCACCTTTCTCGCTTCATTAGCGGAATACATCTGTTCTTTACATGGAGGTCGTCTAAGCTGACGATTGTGGTTAAATTGAAATTGTCATGACTTCAAATGGCTCCCAGGTCGCGGCGGACGACCACCAGCGTCGCCGCCGGAAGGAAGCTCTACGCCAACGGAAAAACAACAAGGGACCTATATCTTCTCGATTGATGCTTGATATTCGTCTAAAAGGCGAAGTCGGGGTTATTTCAGATGAGCTACTGGTAGACTTGTTTCCCCGTCGAGGCTCTCATGGTAAGATTTGCTCCTCATCAACCACTGAAGCGAAAATGCCCCCTGACATACACCCTTGATTTAGATGTCGAACTCTTCCCTGAGATAATCTATGTCGCCTTGGCCCCCTGGGTGCCTAACTTCACAACCGTTGAAGATGTTCAGTGGACTATTGTCCCAGTCCACACGCAGGCCAGCGAAAAGGCGAAAGCTTCCTTCATCTCAGGCGCTGCGATTCACTTCCCTGTTGCCGCCAGCTCAATTCAACCTTTCATTCAAGTGCTGCAAGGCAGCGATCCCTCCCGGTCCTCCTTCCTGCTAGCCCAGCGTGGAATTGAGATTCATATCGTTGATGTCACGCCACTACATTTGGACACTGTATACGTTACGGTAGAGCGAAATTTGCTACGAGATATTGATGAGATACAGGGCAAGTTCGGAGGAGGCTTCGGTACAAAGCCGCGTATGTCCCAGGGCTTGTGGCCGAAAGGAAAAGGGTCGGCTTCGTCTCATGATCGTACGATATCCAAGGGGGGGAAACATTCTGCCACGCAGAGAGATGAGCGGTTGATGGAGGCTATACGCAGAGGGCTAGCTGAACGAGATATTTTGCATAACGGCGATATAATCCCTCTTCCTTTGCCTTCGCATCCCATTACGCATGCTCCACCCCCGCCGGCAAGGATTTCATTCTGCGAACCTGTCGCTCAGGGACGGCTGATACCAAAAACCA